TCAGTGACCAGTTCGTGCAATAAAACAGCGCAGCAAGTGTTCAATTCGTCCAATAACACACACTACTTTATTAAGACAGCGCCCATGTAATCACAAATACACATCACGCATTGTATTCTATCAAAACAATTATTATACTTTAATTTTCATAGCGAAATTTGAGACATCGAATCACACTGCCTTATCGTCCAATGGTGATTTTATGCGTAACTGCGCATGCGTGATAAATTCGAATTAGTACTATTTAATCTATCATTAAACGAATAATTTATGCGATAAACCATCACAACATACATGAACACATCAAATAATATACATTCTTTATTATGAAACTACAATTTGATAAGAGAAGTGTGTATCAGAAAAAATAACGCAAAATGTTTACCATGCAAATGTGCCACTCACCATGTATGATAATTGGACAGAGATTACCTTACACTAGAAAAGCGTGATTTTGGAAGGTTTTTGGGCCAAAAAGTAATTTTAAAATGATTCAAGCCAAATAAAAAAAAAATGCCCTGGAGATATTCACACAAGCTATCATAATGCCAAGTTTCAGAAAAATAGACTGAAGGGTTTTTGAGATATCTTTGTCTACAGCATACGGCCTACGGCTTACGGCCTACGGCTTACAAATTGTGATAGCATTAGTCCGTTGGACCATTGGTCACTGAATAAGTCATCATAAGTCATCATAAGTTCCTTAAATTTCTCAGCATGCCCATCCCACAAACAACAGAAATTCACAATATTGATTTTTAATTAATATTACCTTGTTCTCAGGGATTGGTGCAACACCATGTTTTTATCCTAATAAACAGATTCTAAGATTGGTTTCTCATTTAATCAGAATGTGTGTATGTCTAGTATTAAAATAAACAATATTTTAGAATATACATGTATTTAATCAGAATGTGTGTATGTCTAGTATTAAAATGAACAATATTTTAGAATATACGTTTAACATTTTTATAAAATTAAAATTAAAGTTAAGATTTACATAGTGACCATTGAATAGATCAAATGAAAAAATAGTTATAAACTTATTTAAAAATAAAATTGATTTTTTCAGATACCGGTAGAAGCATTTCAGGTTCAAACCCAGTCCCAAATTTGACAATATGTATCAGATTATTGATAGTTAAATTTTCTATCTTCTATTGTAGGTTTCATCAGTGAGTGCAGCATTACATGATACAAGTGTTCTAGTGCAAAGAAGTATGTTAGATTTCTTACTGCAGTGTCTTCCAATGCATACTGGTAGACTAGACAAAGAAGATACAACCAAAGTTGTGATGGCTGCACTAAATGTTGTACTGCGACGTGACATGTCATTAAATCGACGTCTTTATTCATGGCTTCTTGGAGGAGACTCAAATAGCTTATCAAGTGGAGCAGAATTTCGTCCACGTATGCAGCATGCAGAAAGTGTCTCTAGTTCAATAACAACTCTAAGTGAAGATGAAACTTCATACTTTGATTTGCATTCCAAAGAGCCGTTATTTGAAGCATTGAAATTACGATTACATCATGATGACCTTAATACTGCATGGGGATCGGGTGGTGAAGTGATTGCAGCTCTAAAACCATATCGTATTTTGATAAGTTTGTTGGATAAACTTGAAATTGGAGGTGCAATCCTAGAGGATATTTTGATAGAAGTCTTTCGCTCTCTCTATACACACTGTAATAGTTTAGAATTAGATCGGGCTGAATCTCTGAAAAAACAAAAATTGAAGTCCCGTCGACAACGCCGACGAAGGAAAGAGGACAAGCCAGGATCTGAATTAATCAAGACAGCCAACCTTCTGTTTAGTAGTTTTGAACCATTCTATATCTGGGATTACATTGCCAGATTATTTGAAGCATGTTGTAGATTAAAACGTGTCATGAGTGATGAAGACAGTATTGCACAAGACAAAGTCACTGTGCGAGAACTGTGTAAACTTGTTGATTTCCTCTTGGATATGCTTTCCTTGGTAAGTGTACAAATATATCACATGTCAGAGCTCAAAAGATAAACAAACTACCAAATCTTGTCTTAGGAATTAGTAGCCCACCAGTACTACAAGAAATCTACGAGATAATAGTACTTTGTTAGTCCCCGTTTGGACATAGTCCGAAAACCGGGGACTTATGTTTTGACCTCTGTGCGTGCGTGCTACGTGCGTTCAGACCTGTATCTTAGAAATGCTTGGACCAATTACAATCAAACTGCACACATACATCATACATGATATTATACATATGCACGTCAATTTGTTTCACGATCTGATTCAAGATGGTCGAATGGTGGCCATTTTTGTGCTAAAAATCATTAAAATCAAGCATTTCCCAGCTGTTTACAGATGGATTTTGTTCAAACCTTATATATACGTTGGACATTATAGGACCTTGATGCACATCATTTTGTTTTACGATCTGATTCAAGATGGCCGAATGGCTGCCATTTTTGTGCTAAAAAATCCTAAAAATCAAGCATTTCACGGCTGTTTACAGATGGATTTTGTTCAAACTTGGTATATACATTAGACCTTGATGCAAATAATTTTGTTTTTCAGATAAGATTCAAAATGGCCGGCTGGCAGCCATTTTGTTTTAATGAATGTGGTTCTTGTGCCATATCTCTGACTTGCTTTCACTGATTATTTTCAAATTTTAAATATTATAAATATTATAAATATTTTAAACAGATATATTGGTTTGACGATCCTATTCAAAATGGCCTAATGGTGGTCATTTTTGTGCTAAAATATCATCAAATATCAAGCATTTCTGGCATTTATGGATGGATTTCATTCAAACTTGGTACATACATTAGACGTTACGGGTTCCTGATGCACGTCATTTTATTTTTCAGATTAGATTCAAAATGGCTGACTAGTGGCCATTTTGTTTTAATGATTGGGCTTCTAGAGCCATGTCTCTTAAATGTTTTGACTGATTATGTTCAAATTTTATATATTCGTTATACATCATGTTATATATATATATATACATGTATTCAAAATGGCTGATTTTGAATGCTGTTTCAGAGCAATATCTCTCAATATGGACAAGTACTTGTTTGACTATCATATACAAATGTCAATAATTTTAATGTTAAAAAATCATATTCCTGACTTGGTTATATTCCAGCTATATTACTATAAACAAAACTATATATCTTAAATTTGATAACTAACGGGGACTGTGCCATGCATGGCTTGTTTTTTTTTTAAATAAATCTTCAAAGATGACGTGTATTTATTTCTGTTGATACTTTTCTGCTTGGCTGTAAGTATCAACTAAACCTGATGAACTAACAAATGTCACTATGGGACTACCAACTATTAAAACTGGTACCTCAGCAAACTGAGAAAATATTAATTTTGAACCCTGGATGATGTGGCTATAACCATTATAAACAGTGCACGTTATTAGTCCCCGTTCCGACGAAGTACGAAATTGGGGACTTATAATTTGGTCTCCGTTCGTGCGTCCGTCCGGAGTCATATCTCAGAATCATTTAGACCTTTTCCGTTCATTCTGTGCATGTCCCTAGTACTTTATGTGGGACATATGCACATGCAATGGTTTAGCGATTCGATTCAAAATGGCCGACTGGCAGCCATCTTGTTTTTTGAAAATGTTGTATTTTGGACATGCTTTGTCAGTTTTCATTCAAATTTGGTACATAGATTATACATGTTATGATACATGTTTCCGACTGTCCGTGAGTCCGTCTGTCCGTGTGTCTGTCTGTCCGTGTGTCTGTCTGTCCGTCCGTGCGTCAGTCCGTCTGTGCGTCAGCCCGTCCAGAGTCATATTTCAGAATCTTTTGGACCCATTCCGTTCATTCTTTGTATGTGTCTAGTACTTTATGTGGGACTTATGCACATGAAGTGGTTTAGCGATTCAATTCAAAATGGCCGACTGGCAGCTATCTTGTTTTTGGAAAATGTCGTATTTTTTACATGTTTTGTCAGTTTTCATTGAAATTTGGTACATAGATTATACATGTTAGGATACATGTCCATGACAATTTCTTTTGCAATTGGATCAAAGATGGCCAACTGGCGGCCATCTTGTTTGTTTAAAATGTGATAACTTGGACATGCTTTCACTTTTGATCTATGTTTTTCGTTGCTGTCTTAAACCGGAGGGGTCGTCATGCAACACGTGTTTGAATTTGATGTGAATAAATAATCTGTTGTATATGCCACTTGGGACTCAAGTTTCAAGGATACGCTCGCGACAACCCCTCCGCTTTAATATGACGAGCACAAAGAGACCTTTCAAAAATTTAACGGGGACTGTGTCATTTTCAATGACTTGTTATATGTGTATTATAAGTGAGTGATGATATAATGAAATTACTATCATTGTTAATATGAATACATGTTGCCACATTGCATCACTGCAAGTTTGAAAATTTAATTTTATACAGTGATACATGTATGAAGTATGTTGGAAGAAATTGCTTACAATTATTTATTTTTTTAAACACAAAATAAATGTGTATAACAAGATCTATTTACAAATGTTGCAAATTTTTCTTCTAGCAAATTTTATAATTAATTTTGTTTGCTTATACACAGGAAACCTACATGGAAACTCAGACGGAACACTTGCCCGAACTTTTGTGTCAAATCACGATCTCTCTAACCAATCATGCTTCTATTGTCAGTGTTGACGACATTAATGATGGCTTGAAACTATGTAATAAAATTCTGACCAAAGTCCTCCCCTCCATGGCTACCACTCCTGTTGATGGCACAGTGACGCAGTCTGGTGAGCATGATGATCATGTGGTGGAGGCTTCCATTTCAGACCAAGAGGAAGGGAAGGCTACTGATAAAGCCACAGAAGAGCAAAAAAAGGAAATACAACCTGTTGATTCAGAGGATGGAGAAGTGAGGGAGAAGAATGAATCAGAAGGGGTTGGTAAAGAGGTGGAGGAGGGAGCTGAGTATGGGGTGTCTGAGCTTGAACATAAAGAGCAGTCATCATCTGAGGAAGTATTTCCAGAAGAAATAGAAAAACTGGAGGAGGAAGAAGATGAAAAGTTTGATCCAAATCTTCTTGAGGAAGATGAAATCCCTATTGATAGGATGAATGAGACGAATGTGTCTTGGGGTGATGCAGACTCTAGTTCGGTTAAGTCTAGTAAAGATGGCAAAGACATTGTTAACCAAGCTGTACAATCAACAACAGAAGCAGCTCTTATGAAAACTGGTAAGATCAGCCCCCCTGGGAGACTGAATCCACCTGTAGAAGTAGAAAGTTGTAAAGATGATGAGGATGAAGGCACTATTTCTGATGATTCACAGGCAAGCCATGTGGAACAAGATGATATGGATGATACCCTGGTGAATATCCCACATGCCAGACATGAGAGTGAGAAGGAACCCCCTCCTTTGTTTCTCATCCAGGCATGCATGCGATGTTACCAGAACTTCTTCGCCAAATTTGTTACAACTAAGATTTTACCTTGTTCTGAAATAGTAGGTACTTGTATGGAGTACATCACAACCTCAGGTAAAAATTCTTCAACTTGTTGCCTTGGTGATGAAGAAGAGACTTTGCCAACTGCTTCTGACACTTCCACTGCCGCCGATACCGGTGGGGGTCTTCTCTGTACTGCAGACGTTCTTCTTTACAGCACCTTTCTTTTTAAAAAGGTTCATATCTCGGGTGGTTGGACTATGTTTGTGCATGACAGTTCTTCTCATAACCATCATCATCATCATCATCCATCTACTGGTTATCGGACTGAGAGAGACATAGTGTTCCTTCGATACAGAGGTGGGTGTTCTTAGTCAGCATAGTCTAAATCATCAAATATTCCTTTGTTTCATCCAATGATTCTGAATAATGAATTACCCCTCAATTTAAACCTTGAAATCCTGTGGGCGCTATCATTCAAGTCATTCAGCATACTCATCAACTCACTACGCTGTTTTGGATATTCCTTCAAAGAGTTAATTTTAATTGTATATTTAAAAGTATGAAAAAAAAAACTGAATGTATAAAACCCTAAAAGTTAGTATGTAAGTAGGAATTGCAGTACAGGAAACTAAATTCATTTTTGGAAACATTCTGGCAGCATAACGCAATTGACTTAGTGTAGTGTTATGATGGTTAGGTTTTTGTTAAGTTAGTTGAGTGTAACTGTGTATTTGTGTAATACAACATGTATGGTGATAAGTCTGTTGATTTTGTAACTGTGTTGTTGATTAGTTTTACTGGACTTATTTGTTGTTATTGTACAAAGAATGCAATGCTGTATTTATCTGCATGTGGTAGTTGCATCACAGAATAGTTTGAATGAAATAGAAATAGAGAGTAAGACCGTTGTACGGTAGTACATCAAGTAGACATTAAGAGAAATTGTGTGTTCCCACCCAATGGTAGTGTCTTTGTAGTTTATGTCTGCATATCAGTATAGTATGTGAATGTAGGCATGTTTTGAGTATGTTTCATTTCATCAGCATCATTGTTTTCATGCATGGCATATATTTCTCATAACTTTCTTTGTCATTTCTTTTGAGCTCAACATATCTGCCTTGTCTGCTTTGAGCTCTGTGTTGCCACTAATATCAATGTCTGCCTTGGCTCATTTTTATAGTATTCTCATATCATTGAGCCACTTGCACTTGTGATTTTTTTTACAGAATTTATACCTTAGTTTGTTATTGTTATTGCAAGATTTGTCACAGCATATAAATATTGTTGTCATTGTCACAATTTTATTGATGTGTAATTACTGCCTTCACCTATACATGTGTTATACACTCAGATTATCAAATTATCAGATTATTCATTGCTATCTGTGAATAATAATGGTATATTTCATGCACACTGTGACAACTAATTTTTGCCATGCTTGTATAACAGAGTCTGTATTATTAGAAGGTAGATCCTTACCTAAAGCCCAAGTTGAAGCATTCACCACTGCATGTCGTTTACTGGTAGAATTTTCCTGCTTTCCACTATATTGTGATGAGCATGTGACTGCCAGTATGCTGCAAGAAGCCCTCTACAAAGGTGAGACTAACTGAACTGCCTATAGATAAGTGTTAATACTGAATTTATGAAGGTGTGATTGTTTTTTTAATAATTAGATACTTAATATAGAGCATTTATTCTAAAATAATTTTAATTTCAATCCAAAGAAGATGTTTACATTATTATGCAAGTTTTTTGGCAATTCACATTACCCACAAGTCTTTGCAGTTTTTTTCATTCACTCATTTGAGATGTCTGATAAAGCATTGCAATTGGTCAAGTTTTCTTCTTGTTCAAAATTTATAAAACATTTAGAAACAAATTTTATTTAAAAATTCACCTGGGTAAACTTGTTGGAATTTATTCATTAGTATATTAAAATCTGGGAAACTTGTTGTATGAAAAAAATATTATTGTATGATACAGTGTGCTTCATAGATAGATGCATGCAGAGGTAAGGTGTAATTTTGGTGACTCAGAAAGATATTAGTTGCCTTAAATGTTAACATTTTTTATGGTCATCAACAAACTAAAGGAGTTTTCAAACTTGTCAGCTCTTCTGTAAAGTTCTAAGCTCTGTGTTAGTTTTCAACACTGCCATTAATACACTTAATGTACCCATGATGCATCAGTCAATGTATTTATAGATTATTTTACATAAGTCTGTGAATAAATTATTGTTACAATATTGAATCAGATTTCAAAACAAAATGTCTTTACTGATAACACCTTGACAATGATACTTTGTATTTACAGGAGACAGTACCTTACCTGATTGGCTGCAGGCTCTCATCACGTGTTCATGTTTTGTCTGTAACTTTGAGATTCAGAGCACTGCTGTCAGCACAATGCTGGACTTGATCAATTTGACAAAATCTGTGTCAACTCCAGATAGTGAGAAATCACTAATTCCATCTATGCCAACCACTGTAAGACCCAATGCTGGCAAAGTCTCTGTTGTCATTGTACCAGCTATTGCTCAGATTCATTTGGATTTTATTACCCAGCATACATCATTCTTTCAGGTAAGCTGTGATTTGTTGAATATGAGATATACCGGTATGTACTTTTGGTGTGTTTTCAGTGCTATGTTAATTGCTGCTATGTATGTAAAATTAAAACAGTATATAATTTTTTCTAGATGGTTGCATTCAATCTATGGGGTTGGTTGAGTGCGCAGACACCACAGTACCATCAAAAAGCTGCTGATCTGTTTTATCAGTTACATAGTATAGCGCCCTCTATGACTGTATGTGAAGATGTTATTGGCAGATCACTGGTTCATGAAGACAAGGTAACATTTCTTTAAACTTTGACCCCTATCCATTCATACAAATTTGACCAGGTAGTCTGAATAAATTTAAGATTTACATTTGTCATACAAATGTCATGTGATATTCAGATGAATTTAGTTGTCATGTAAATGTTTGTGTCATTGCAGGCTGTCTCCATAGAAGGCCACGTCAAATTTTCTTTATTATGGCATCTCATTCGTGGTAGGATACTCACTACAAGTGCCAGTGGTAAAGCCAGGACATTCGACAGGTATTTACAATCTTATTACTCAAATTGAAAACTGAACTAAATAAATATATCAAGATGTTTGGTGTAATGAAATTGCTACCATAAAGGGCAGTAGCATACAAGTCTTGAAATTTAGTAATAAATAACAATTTTACAATAAATTCTGGGTAGGTAGAGATTTTTGGTCATGGTCATGTGAACCAATCCTATGTGGCAATTGGAAGAAACCACATTGTTTTTATACTAGACATAATTAAAATTATTATTTTATTTTATTTACAGATGCATGTTGAATGTTCTTGATCGTCTATATGACGCTGACAGCATTACTAAATCTGTTGTATCGGCATGGTTGAACCACGCCATAGAGAGAGGAGATGTGGCTCGCATACTGGAACCCATGCTATTAGTTCTTCTGCATCCAAAGACTGCACGTGTATCAGTTCAGTTCCTGAAACTCAATTCAACAGATGCTTTGCACGCACAACTCAGAATTCAGTCTCAAGAGGAACGAGCAAAAGACAATGCTTATGATGCAGCAGAAAACCGAATTCGCAGCATTGCTAATGTAGATGGGGAGATAAGTTATTACATTGAGAGAGATGGCACCAGGGAACTAATGAGAAATATGGAGAAGCAGATGCCAGTGTTTGCTATGACCAGTATGGATGACAAAGGCAAGTCTATCACCAAGACAAATAAAGGCATTACATACCAGCTACCGTCTGCCAAAGAAATGGAACCTATGAGTGTGATTGTCAATCCGTTTGGATCACAGCATTCCCTTGAAAGCGAGTCTGGAAGCGAAGTGAGTTCACAGGCTGCAGGAAGATCTACTGTGGTTCAAGGTGTACCAAATAGTTCACAAGATAGTCTAGACCAGGTCAGAGCTGAAAGTCTGGAAAATGACCAGGCCAGAGCTGACTCCTCAGATGAGCACACATGTCTAGAGTCATACTCCTACAATGTTAGTGAATCTGCTGAAGAGATAGCGAGAGGAATTGTCATAGAGTTATTAAATCGTGTTGTACCAGTGGCAGCACCACCTGATGTTAGAGAGATAGAAGATGAATCCAAAGATGAAGATACTGCTGTTTCCAAGACAGATGCAGAGAGTCATATAGAGGATGATCCCAGAGGCAGTGTGGATGATCATGGGGCTAGTGCCGATGATGAGGGTGGCGAGGAGTTTGATTGGGACAATTTTGATCCAAAAATATCAGAAATTGACACCGAACCTGGTGATATGGATACCCCAAGCAGAAAGATTAGTTCCACATTGTTTGCCTCTGAAGCAAGACGTTCAGTAAATAATGTACATCCACTACATCAACATATGTTGATGTATAAACAAGTTTATGATTCACAAAGAACAATCTACGTCTTATCAGCTTTGAGAAACATCCTACAGGTGAGTCCCAGACCTTTCGTGTGTGCGGCATCATCAACTAGCATCAGTAGCATTCACACACCTCATCTAGTCACTCTGCAGAACCTGCTAGCAAGACATAAGAGATCAATTGTAGGCAAGAGTTTCTATGATGAGCTTCCACTAGAAGCCATTGCTAGCTTCAGAAGTAACACCTATCTGGAAATCTTGATATCTACATGTATGTATTTCATCCGGGGCTACTATCCCAAGGACATGCCGGCAACCTCGGAAGACATTCGAGGCAACAAAGATGTGCAGATTCTCAGCATTGAAATCATGACAAAAATTCTTGGTGAGCTTGTTTATGTTGTGAAGGAAAGTGGTAGAGGAACAGCAACGTTCATCAAAGACCTACTCTCAAGATGCAAAGTACAGAAAGCTATTCTCCATTGTTTATTGGCGACTGTGTTGAATGCACGTAAACAAGCTCTTCGACAGTACAGTGCTGGGTTTAATATGTCTGATAAGAGTTCCCAAGCAGTACAGATTCATCTTCTACAGCTTGTCCATACCATTATGATACTGGAAGAACAGCTCTTCTCCCCGAGGGAAACCAAAGACTCCAGTACAGATGATGACAGCCTTGAATGGGAACATGTCAAACCCAATTTCCAGCCTCAGATGTCTTCACTACGATTTGTACAGTCTGAGAGGATCGCATGCCAAGGAATGTTTCTATGTGCTATTCTAAGTGCATTAAGACAACCACATATGAGTCATGTACATCGTCAATGGGTTGCCATAGTTACTGATAGTTTGCCATACTTAGACAAAGGATTAAGTAACATTGTTGTTCCAGTAGGCAATCAAATTTGTAAAAACTTAGAAAGTTTGGCATATCTCTACGACAGTAATGGTGGTTTCCAAAAAGAAAAAAGGCAAGTATCACATTTAAGCTCTGTTTATTGCCAGTAGAGGGCAGTCTTTTTAAATGGGGGAGGCTCCAGGAATGTTACAATCATTTCGGATTGTATGTCATTTGTTCCCAACTGTTGACTATTTATTAAACTTGTTACTCTCTTCAGTTTCATTTTCATCAAAATAAAATCACAAAATGATTAAATATTAAAACTTGATATGAACATCCGTTTATATTTTTATGTGATTCAAAATAGCTGACTAATGGCCATGTTGTTTCCTGGCTTCTTAAATTGTAATTCAGTACCAGTATTGACATCGACTTGTTAACTTTCAGAATGATGACTAAACTAGAGTACATTCCTCCTGACCACACCATCTCCTTACTGGAAGGTCTAACTACAGTGTGTCATTACTGCTTGCTGGAAAGTACCACCAACCTATCAGCTGTCAGTTCTCGCCATGCTGTCACCGCTCCAAGCCAGGAACCTGATGCTGTGAATCCTGCACAGCTGCTAAGCAATCTGTTAGGTGCACTGAGTGGTGATAAAAATAAGGTACACAATTCTTACATTCAGCATGATGTCTGTTGCAGTGATATTTGCTCTATTAGAAGCACATACGCTTATGTAAATTACAAAAGTCAAAATAAGTGATATTCTAATCGTTCAGTAGACAACAATTGCAATTTTTGGTTTATATGCGCTTCTATTGGAGATACATTTCTGATAGAGCTTATACATGTTCAGTAAGTGGTGTATAAAGTTAACCTACTTACGTCTGTACTTATATGATTCTCAAAGGATACTACACTGTGACATAATTTTTGCCAACCGTCTTGTACGTATGACAACTTGCAATCTAATGTGACGTTACCCATATTTGTTTTGATTAAGTACATCGTTCTATTGAATACTGTGAATTGTCATCCTACTGTGTACATCTGTCACTGTGCTGACATAAGTTACATCATACTGTATTCTTTTGGTTTTGCATGGGTATCTGCATCCTACCATATTAGGAGATAGGCATTCCAAATTTAGAATAATTACAATACACAGTATTTCCAAGCTGTCGGCGCATAGTTAATAAACAAAATTAATAGCTAGAAAGTTTAATAATGTTGGTTTGCAAAGATGTATAATAAGATTATTAAAGGATACTGCAAAGTATTCCCTCAGACTGTATGGAATCACATCAACTGCCACAACACATCAGTCAATGCTACTGCTATATTGTCTTTGTGCATACATTGTGGTATCTTAGTAATACCTTGTATTATGTCATCCTACTGTGTACTTATTACTGATAAGTATGTCTTTTTAATTTCTCATTTAATACTAACTCTTTTTGTCTTTTACCAAATGTTCTCTTCCCTTTCTGAATCCTGTATTGTTGTTTTCATATTCTTTTGACGTTGGATTGTTAATTTTTATTTTTCACAATTTATCTTTCTTTGTTGTATTTCATGTATGTTTAATTCTTGTATTTCTGTTGTTATTTTATCAAAATGTTGTTTAATAATTCAATTTTCATCTTCTTTATTTATTTGTGTTTGAAATTAATTCATTTTGGTCCATTCATTGCTAACATGTCATTTCATGAATTATTGTGATCCCTCTTTCCATCCTCTGTCCTCTTTCTTTTCTATTTTCTATCCACTCTGCATCCACTCTAGAGGAATAATTGTCACATGATGTATGTTAATGATGACCAATGTAGAGAGACACTGCTTCACCCACAGGGCACATCAGCCAGTGCCAATGCTCAGAGTGCCAATCCAGTAACTGAGTCTCGTAAAGGTCTATTGGCCATCTTACCTCGTATCATGTCTACCGTGGCTGTCCTTTGGTCTGCAATCCATAACTGTGAGTCAGCGCAAATTAGTTCAGATGCTTATATGAAGGAGATGAAGGAAGCTAACTGGGTTATAGGTACACCAAGGGTGAGTACTAAGTCTATATATGACCCAATGGTTATCATGTTCATCAAGAGTTTGATCACTCAGGATTAAGAGTACATATTTGCTGGCATTCATAGCACCCTGTCCAAGACGATGTAAAAGCTGACAATCCTATGCGTCACTCCTGATGCACACAGTAGATTACCATCAAATAGAAACCTTACTAGTATAGATGTGATGCGCTGAGGCTCAATAGAATGAAACAAAAATTGTTTATGTTCTGAATATATTTATTGTATTTTCCATGAATTAATTTTTTCTCTGAAGTTCATCTTCAGTTCATATTTTTGTTGTTGGCATCCATAGGATAGTCAATATTCACAGACAGTTTGTAAAATAGAGTTATTGGTGATAATTGTGGTTGACCTGTTTTCTTTTCTCTTTAGGCTGTTCGTCAGCAGATATTGGAGTTTTTGAGTCCTATAGCATTGCATCATGGTATCAATTTATTGGGTGCTATAGCAGTTGTATGGAGTGATAGGAGAAAGCACAGTAGACCTGTACTTGGTACAAGAAAGGTAACTCAGCATATACCATCCATTTTGACCCTTTGTTTGGAAGCTGACATATTGCCCAGATTCTGGTTCACAGATTACACATCAATGCAAAGCAATGTTGAGAATGTTTTGTAACAAAGTAACAAAATTAAAGCACATAATTTTTTTATCAGGAAATGTAGTAATTATGTCCATTTGGGCCAAAGTTAAAAAGAAATTATAAGTCTATGAAAAATGTCGTCTATCAGCTATAGTTTAGATTGTAAAGCTACAAAATGCTGTGTGACAAATCTATATTTGTGGTTGAATTTATGCCTATCTATAGTTTCTCCAATGTGAAATGTAACTGTGTCTACCCACATCTTGACAACATATCCCTTCAACTCTGGTAACAAAAATACTTTGCAACTATTTTTTTGGGGCTGGTAGCAAAGTACACAGTCACATGCACATTTTTTTCTATGCACAGTTTATATTATTTACATGTCTTATTCACAGGTTGTTGTCATACAAGAAGCAAATGAGGAACAGTTATTATTAGTAGACCTAGTATGTGCAGTTAAAGCAATGCCCACAGATACTGTTATGCAAACAATCAGACAAGTCCTCAAATCACCGCCATATACTATAAAAGACAAGGTAAGTGCCACATTGTTGCTTTTTTCTAGGTTGCTAACACATACTCCATTTTGGATTCAGCACACAAACAGAAACAATTACATTATTTCTTGATAGCTATTCTCGTATTTGTCTAATATCTTGTTTCTGAAAAACATTTAACAGGTATTGTGATGAAATAATTCTATGATGAAATTGAGCTCTTGCAGGGAGTGCTC